TGGTTTGGCAGGAAAGGATCTGGGTTACCAGGGAGATGATGAGAACCCTTGAGACTGCCTTTGCTGATTAGGGTAACCATGTAACTTGAAACAGTTACTGACATGGTGACTAGCAACCCCACAATGGGTGCAAATGATCTCTGATCGTCGTGGAGTCAGTAAATACCAGAGGAAGGGGGTCGAAATCGCCTTGAAGAAGGCTGAACAGAGGCCTGAAAAGCTGCAGCTTTAGATGTTAGGGGAATAGCCAGGTGTTGTTGTTCTTCCTGGAACATCAGGTTGTAAGCCTTAGAAAGAGATGGCAGAGGCTCAATCATCAGGATCTGGCGACGAACATGAGTGTAAGACTCATTGAGTCGCATCCGAAAATGCACAACATTGCGGCATTCAATCAGTTCCAGCCAGCGTTGATCGAGGTCACAGGTGCATTTGCTGCAGGTACACACTGGGAATGGTTCATTGTTTTCCAGTTCCTACTAGGGGTGGCCATGTCGGGTTTCGGTTTGGTTTTCGATTTGGTTATTTGGGGTTCGGTTATTTCGGTTATAAAGAAATCAAAACCGAACGGTTACATGAATTAAATCGGTTTGGTTCGATTCGATTCAGATTCGGTTCAGTTCGTTTTTACCACAAAATTATAACCGAATGGTTAAATTTGGTTCGGTTCGGTTATATTTGGTTATAAACAAACACTAATATATACGAAATAAATTATAAAAAAATCTTTAAAAATTTCGAATTACATCATAATATTAATATTAATCATTTAAAATTATCAATCTAAACCAAAATACACAATATTAATCTTTCAAAATTCTCAATCCAAATTTTAAATCACAAAATTTTCGAAAATTTCAACCTTCACCATTTTTTATCTTCATTTATTTTTAAAAAATACAATAAATTAATATATAATATATATAGAAATAAGATTTTAATCAAATAAAAAATTAACTTTTAATTATTTATAAATTAAAAATTGAGATAACAATGAATATATGAAAATTGAAAGTGAAATTGTAAAAATATTACATAAATATTTAGAATAAAACACTAAAAACTAAATAAATACTAATAACCGTTCGGTTAACCACGGTTATTCGATTATTAATCGAACCGAAATGAATCCGAACGGTTATTGAACTTGCTCAACGATCGGTTATTAAGCAAACAACCGAACTGTTGTTATTCGGTTCGGTTCGGTTATTCGGTTAATAACTGAAATGACCACCCCTAGTCCCTTCCACAGAGAGGTCAGTTTTGTGAAGCAGGTCGTTTGATCCATGGAACTCTGGGTGAGGTTATCTAGTTGCAGCTGGATATTGTATATTTTAGACGCATTCTTCTGCTTGAAGTATGTCTCCAGAACTCGCCAGATGAGGCTGCCAATATCAGAGGGTACCGAGTTTGAGATCCAGGTACTAACCAAAGCGTTGCAGCGAGCCCAAGCACCAGACTCATGGTGTGCGGCATCCGGACGAGGAATGGTGCCATGAACAAAGCCTAGTTTGTTCTTGGTTAGTAGCGCTTTCTCCATGGAATGAGACCAGATGTTATAGTTGCTTTCACCGAGGAGTTTCTCAGAGACAAGCATAAGACTCGATGAGTCAGCGGCATGAAGATAAGGATGGTTGGCATATGGGTCAAGGGATGGTGGTTCAGTGGTGATGGAAGGATGAAAAGTAGAGGTGGAAGCGGGAGGTGTCGATGGTGAGGATTCCATGGTGCAGAGAACAAAAAAAAAACAGGGATTGAAGAAGAAGGGTAAGGAGAAGAGAGATTTGGAGTGGGTGAAAGAAGAAAGGAAACTAGAAGAGGAGATTTAGAAATCTGAAACGATTCAGAGAATCAAAGAACGATTCAAAGATAAACAAAGAACTTGCAGAGAAATGAAAAACAAGCAAAGCTGGAAAATTTTCTTTTGTTTCTCCTTATCAATTACAATAGCTCTGCTAGTGTATACATACAAAAACTCGAGTGTGCAAACATCAATAAAGAATAAAGCAATGATAATTCCTACTCTATGTGTGCAGCCTATGTAACCGAGCATTTCTCTGCAGCGTTTGTTAGAACATAACCAAAGGAATAAACCGAGTTTCATAGAAACCAAACATTTTTTTTTAAAAGGAGCATTTCTAATGTAGACAGATCGATCAATATATCTTTGCGATCTGGCTTGTGGCAACGCTTGACGAGGCGAACACTGTCTTTCGCGAAGTCTCTGAGAGGGTCTACGACGGAATCAATGGCGTCTATGGAGACTTTCGTTGTGTTCCAATTCCAAAGATGAAAACGAGTGACTGTGTTCGAATGATAAAGAAGAAACTAGGAGAGAGAGAGATTGACGTTGTCACGTCAACACCCGTTCAGATATACTTGGGCCCTCGTTCATGAATTCAAATAAATTTCATTTTTATATTAAAATAATAAATTAAACCTAATCATAATTTAAAAATAACAACAATAACAACTCCTTAATCATCCAAATTTATTTGTAGGCAATGACGGATCTAGAAAAAAAATATCAGTGGGCACTAGTAATTATATATATATAATAAAAAATTAATAAAAAATATATCGCTAAAAAATATTTAAATTGTATGACCAAATTTTATGATTTTTTATTTTTTAAAATATATTTATAACAACTTCATTTGTAATTATCTAAAATATATATTTTTCAATAAAACAAACTAAATAATTACTCAAAATTGATTACCAATCTGATTGCATACACTTGTCTTTACAAAATTAATTGGTAAAAAACATCTATTAACAGTCGCGATATTAACGAGTAAAATTAAAGTTCATTTTGAAAGTCTGTATATCAATAGATATAAAATATGTTTCTTTATTTTTATCATAAAAACAACAATATCTCCAAGATTAGCCAAATTAAAAAATGTCTATCTTTTATCAAATCATTGATTTAGATGCTAAGTTTATATCGAAGAGATATTTGTTCCGTAAAACTGAAGTCATCTGAATAAAATCCAGTCAATTTTATCAGATGCGAAGACAAATTATCTAAACAAATTTGTTTAAATATTGAGGGGTTTGAGAATTCGATATATCATTGAATGAAATTTTACCATTATCTTAAAATATCGATATAAAATTTTTTTGAGAAATTTATTCATTAGTTTCTTTACCAAAGCAAATATAAAGATAAACAAATATATATAACAACAAATTTTTTTTTTGATCAAAATATAGAAATTGATGAACAAACAATAAGTAAAATTATTTAAAAAATTATAATATCTAACTACTTTTAATTTTACTATTTATTTTGTTTTTTATATTATGATTGAATATTTGATTTGTGATTTTTTTAAAGGATGGAGAGATAAAATATTAAAAAATAAATGTAAAAATAAAGAGTAAAAAAAGTAAAATGTGACCTAATTTTTATAATAAAAAAAGAAATAAAAAAACAGACTACCAAACGGCAACCTTCTACATTTTGTGCTAAAATTTTTAAAAAATTATAAGTAAATTATTATTTTTTAATTAAAAAGATGGAGGCATAGAACCCCACTCTAATCTACATGGGTCCGTCCATGTTTGTAGGCCGATAATTTTAAAAATATCAAATAAGAATATTGACATAGAGTTTAACAAAATTCGCGTATTAAACAAAAGATTAACGAGATTCTCCGTAAATGAGAATAGACTATTGAGACAATGTCTCAGAGACAAAAATCACTCATGAAGCCTCAAGTAAAACCTCCTTGTCCGAAAAACCACAGTCAAGCTCAACACCACAGCGACCAAACACACCACGGACATGATCCCACATGTTACCGAGTAACACACCGAACCTACGCACACAAGCGGCTCAGTTTCCGACGGACCGGCTTGTTTTCGGGCGAAGTAATCGTATATGTTACTAGCCATCAAACCCGAAAACACGAACGAGCCGATAGGCAATGCCACTATTTGGAAATTGTACAAAGAACCAAAGCTTTTCAACCCGAACAGGTCGGAAACTGAGGCAGGGGCTATCGCCCAGTGAGCACCGTAACCCATTCCCGTTAGAATGGTCACTACATAGATTTTGCCAGGACAATCGATCGCGTAGTAAGCGAGTCCGAAGGCCATGATCGCTTGCACCACCGACATGGCCAATGGTCGGGGAAGAACAAGTTTCCTGATGCAGAGGAAAATGGCAGATCCACTGGTTAATGAGCGTCAATGGCATATAATATTTATGTTAAACGTGGACACGGCTCATATACCCGCAAAATTTAGGATATTCGGATTTATATCCGAAATAGGTGGATATCAACGTTTGATACCCTTACCCATAATCATACATGAGGGTTACGCGTACCGGTAAAACTTTCAAGTACTCGGAAGTACCCAGATCCAAAAGTTATATCATGAAAACAAAATTATAACAAAATAATTTAGATATTCAAATTTGTATCCGAAGGCAAAAGGGTAAACATTTAAAATTGGAATTAAAAATGTGTTTGTTAATGTACATGGGTACCCGTGGATCCGTCCCTAATTTTTATCCATAACCATACCCGTAACCGTTAAACGGGTAACAAAAAAGTAAACGTCACATACCCATGAATGTTTAGATACCCAAAAATCGGATATGTGCATGTCGGTACAAGCGGTACCCCAATTTTCAGGTATTTATGCCTACCCGTAGGTGATGTAATGTTAAAGGCGGTCAGGGTTTGTGTTATGTTACCTCATTATTAGCTCTGAGAAGTATCCGCCCGCAACCCGGCCGAGAAAATTGAAGATGCTGATAATCGAAACAAATATTTTCGTGTTGGTGTAGCCGAGGGAATAACAGATCTGGCCAAGGTTGTCTATAACAGTTATCCCGGAGCCTACGCCGAGAATGAGAGAGAAGAATATAAGCCAGAAATCGGCTTCTCTCAAAGCCTGCAACAAGGTGAAGTTTTCTCCAATGCACGATTGTTTTCTCCTTTCTCGAGTTTCAAAAGGTGGAAGACTCTCCCTGCTGCTCTCAACCAAATTTTCCTCCTCGTTTTCATCCACAACGTCGGAGTTTCCTTCAACCTTCTCTAAGGTAGCATTTTTTAGTTTCCCACAGAAAGAGACAGATGCAACAGGGATGAGAAGTGGAACCACCATGAGAATGACAAGAGCAGCTCCAAAAATAGTGATGACTGTTTGAGTTAAATCGAAAAGATTCTGAAGAATCAATATTCCCAGTAAATATACTGCAAGGACAGAGCAAAACCCGTAAATAACCAAGAACCGTAAGTTATCAGATGGTCGGTTCTCTCCGTGTCCTTCTACAGGCCTGACAATGAAGAGTAGAGCAAGAACAACAATAGGTGGACCAATGGCAACCATGAGAATAACCGACGAATCATTACGGGGATTGAACATTGAATAAACCTGAGTCAAGATCGCTCCACTCAAACCCGAAAACCCTTTCAGGATTCCCACAACAGGGCCACGACTATCCGGGAAGTTCTGGATGCATGAAACAAGTGATGCCGTGTTGTAGTAGGTTTCGCCATTTGTTCCCAGAAAAATGGCAATGAATAACTGCACAACAACGATTTTTAAGTTCTGTCTTGTAAGAAATCAAAATACGAATTCGTGCAGTTTCAGCCAAATCCAGAAGGAAGTTGCTCTCCAATTACAGAAACCAATTATGAAATTGCACAATGTAACAAAACCTTACATGAGCGTGAATTTGAAACCTTGTCTTAACATCTTTATTGGTAAAATCTCTTAAAAGTTACCTAATCACAAGCATCCTTCTTTACTCCTAACATTACCAAATTGTTAGGAAAATTTCAAGAAATATAATTAATTGTTTGAAGACATACCGCAATTATTTTACATCGTATTCTTGACAGTAAACTACGTATGAATGTGATCTTAAACTTCTCTTAAATGAAGTTTAGAAAATTAACATATAATATCCATACTATACTCAGCCAGCAAATCAACATTGCATATAACATCGACAACGATAGGCTGCCAATTTAATGGATATCATGTGTACTGGGTTTCGACTTAGTCAAGAAAATCGCATAGATACATGCACATGCTCGTTTTAATATCCCCAACGTTCTTCTATAATTCAAAACTTAACTAGGTCGAGTTTATGGTCACGTGTATGATAACAATATGAAATAACTACGATATGAATAAATCCACTTCCGAAGCTTAGCCCCGACAATATAGTAAACTTAGGAGCTAAATAGAGTGTTATGCCATAGTATGCACATCAGATAAGTGGTTTCATGACTTTCTAGGCTAAATTGATATATACAAGTGTGATTCTGAAGCTTAGAATAGGAATTAAATGAATGCATATGATATATCATATTGTTTCCATTTTACATAAAACTCATTTCAATATTACAGGCATCCTTCTCTTATTCCAAACTTTACTAAATCCTTAGGTAGTCGAGTATTTCATAGATGCACAAATCACACTCGTTCTATGTTAAATTGCATTGGCATATTCCTTAAATATCTCTTTATGTAAAAACTCGGCAAATTAACATGTAAAATCCAACTTGACTAAAGTAGCAAACTAATCACACATATCTTAGGCACCAACTTACTCATACTCGGTAACATCCAAAACATCCTACCGTATTCCAGACTTTATACGACATTGCTTAGGGAAAATCTCTGCAGCAAGACTTGTATGAATTCTAAAACATTGAATGAATTTGTGTATGTGCTTCTCTCCAAGAGTGGATTTTCACAAATTCTAAGTATACAATCAAGACTATACGCCGCTATTGTGAATCCAAACATGTATATAACTCAATGCAGTCTAACACGCCATTCGAACACTTGTTCTAAGATGTATAATAAGCCCCAATTTACGTCTCCATAAACCCTTCTTCTACCTCAATTTCACCAATCACACTGCGTATCAATTCAATATATGATCCAGTAACATATCTATCCAATATCTTTCTTCACTTGGAACTAAATCACAAACCCTTTTCATTTTCTTCAATATCCGAACACAGATAATCACCAGAATTTCCCGAATCTCACAAAACCCTATATAATGAAAAACCCACGCTCAAATCAGCGAGAGAAAGAGACGGATGTCTTACCATCCACAGGGGCAGCCTTGGCCACAGACCAGAGACGACGAGCCAGACAACGCCATAGCCGACAAGGTTGTGTGCTGCGCCTACGAGGAGAACAACCCAAGGCGGAAAGGCCTCGGACAAGGCACCGGAGACGAAGCCGATGGCATCGCCGAGGTTCTTAGCGACGCCGAGAACAGAGATCTGCCTCTGGTCGTAACCGAGGGCGGTCTTGATCGCCGGAGACATAGAACCGCCGAAGATGTAGCCGACGCCGGCGACGGACTGTACCCACATCGCACACACGAAGACTAGCCATCGGTCGTTGACCAGAGCCTCGAATCTGTGGCGCCACTGAGAAATTAACATTTTTTTTTTCTGGTTTGGCAATTATATTGAAGCGTTAAATGCTTTCATTTACTTGGAGATGGATATCCATTGCTCTCTTTTTTTTCTTTGGCATGTGCTACACGTTATGCTAATTTGTTATGGCTCTTATCCTTTTTCTTATCTTTTTTTCTTTTATATGTATACTGTAAATTTTTTCTTTCATATGTATACGTAATTACAATAAATTTATGTATTTTTATTTTTAAATGATGTTCTTTTGTTTTGACAAAAAAATCATTCAGTTTTCGATTTTTACATCTTTTCATATTCTTGTAGCAGATGGAATTTTAGATCAAATTTATTAGATGGAATTATATTCACCAAGTAAAAAAGTTCCATGTTAATATGTTATCCTTTCCGCTGAGCTCATGGACTTGAGTTAGCCTCGTTGAGCCTTGGAATCAACAGGCTTAGTTAGTTATATTAGGCTTAGGGAATATGATTATATATGAGCCCATTATGGAAAATTCAATAACACCTATTCTAAATAAAGATGTTGAATATATATATATATATATATATATATATATATATATGTGTGTATATGATGACCAATTAGACTCTTTTTTTTCTCAGATCTTGTCTATTTCACTTATAAGAAAAAACTATACAAAAATTTCCGAGGTGTAACTAAATACACATTCGACCAAATCGACATTTATCGTAATTTTGGGTATGTCATTTTTCATGGAATAAGAGTGTCAACTTTGTTGAAAATTTTCATATAAACACATCAATTTTTCAAAATGTATCAAATAGATATCTAGACTTTTTAATTTTGTCTAACTGATATCTCACATATTAACATATTTTAAATTGATATTGCAACTTATCAAATCAATACCAATTTTCAACTTCGAATCATGAAATCGAAGGAATTATTGAAAATTTTCAATAAATTATTGTAAATACTAAATATTATGAGACTATGACTCATACTTAATATTCTACGTCATCGCTGACAATTTGTTTGCATAAATATTTCATACGTTATAGAAAAAATTAAGAGTTGACATCGAGTTAAGATATAAATTTAAAATATTTTAATATTTATGGTACCAATTTAGAATATTTTAATATTTTTTATATATTAATTTGCATCAAAGTTCAAGAACGAGCAAGATTATCTTGGGGAATTGATGATATCAAAATAAAAATTCAGATATTTATTTGACATATCTTATTAATAAGGTATTTATATATGGTTTATAAATAATTAAAAATTGATAACAAGTGCTTTTATGCACTTGTCTACATTTTTGAAATCATATACATCCGTGTTAAATTTAGATTAATTTTGATATTTTCGGATATAGATTCGAGTAAGTCTAATTTTTTCGATTATATTTTTTGGTTAAGTGTGAATATATTAATAAAACAATTGATTATCAGTTACAACCCAACCAGAGCTGCATACAAAAGTCTGAATCCCATGGCAAGTCGTAGGTGGGGCAATTAAAAATTTTAAAGCTATATATAAACTAGAAACATGTTGCAATTACTCACGATATGGTATAATTATATTATATATATATTTTTATTGTATATATATATTATAGAAAGTTTCGGATTTGAATATATTCAACTATTGAATATCAAACTACAACGCACAATGAAGTTTTGGATCAAATGAACCCATTTGAAAGCAGTACTTGGCTTAATGGAAACAAATGCAGTTGCAGGGTCGAGCTCAATGCAACTGTCAAAGTCAAACAATTACAAAAATAACTGGTAGATGGATATTATATTAATCATACACCTAATGACTACAGGTTTTAATTAACAATTAATCGCTCATTTGATACTTGCGGACAGCACTGCTTACATGTTTCGCCACGTCACCCAATTGATTAAGTTGGGATTTTGTTCTTTGTTTAATTTTACGCCTTGGAAGTTTGGGTCAGAATCTTTCATTTTTCTACTGAATGATTGCTTTTCATATTACTACTAAAATTATTCAACTGTTGTAATATCATAATTTTAGCTCCACATGCCTTCAAACTACGCCAATACAAATACCAAAACCCTAATATATATATAGAAGTGTACGTCCATTAAGTGATCTGATGACTCAGAAGTCGATCTGAATAGCTAGTCAATGTTGGCTACATATGTTATATAGGTGAATGCCAGACATAAAACCGTAAATGTCCACTGGATCACCGACTGTTGACTATATATATAAATGTTTCATAACACTCTCAAATAATCCTTTAAATTAAGTATTAACTTATCAAATTGATAATTTTTTTAATGATATATACATCTTCTTCTTCCTCCTCTTCTCTCTCATTAATATCTCCAAGCATACCCAAGCCAATCATCAATAAAAACCAAACACTTTGTATTACACACACGCGCACACAAACAAAAATGTCGGAGTGGATAGCGGTGGTGGTGGCGACGGCGCTGTTCGTGTTGTTATCGCCCGGCCTATTATTTCAAGTCCCCGGAAAAAAGGTTTTCGTGGAATTCGGGAACTCGGAGACGAGCTATGCCTCTATCCTCCTCCACGCCTTCATCTTCTTCGGCATCATCACTGTCTTTACCGTTGTCCTCGACCTCCCTGCCAAGCTCTAGTACTTGTACTCTCCTCCTTGTTCACGTCACAAAATTAAATATTTTTTTTTGCCTTACCATAAATTTGTTCTGTACTCCATCTAGCTATTGCTTGCGGTTGGTTCGCCTCTCGTTACAGTCTTCATACATATCTGGTTTCTGGATTTACGTTATATGGATAAGGTTGTTTGTTACATAACATTGTCTTAGATTGACAACATATATTTAAAAACAAAATCCGAACAAAAACATACAACTTTATAGAGGTTTTTTTTATATAAAAAAAGTTGAACTTCGCAAAATCTTTATAATCAAATTCAAAGGTTCAAGCTTTTTGGGGTCTAAAGCAGGCAACATGCATTTAAAAAAAAATACTTTCCACATTATTGTCAAAGTCCGGACAACAAATTCATGTCGTGTTACACGACGTCATCCATGCCCATGTACTCCCACAATTAATTTGGCATCCTTTCACAACCCTTGAAGGGTCATTTCTATAACTCTTGTATCTTCTCTTCATCTCCATCATCAAGATATATGAAGGATGGCGGATTGGGGTCCTGCGGTGGTGGCGACGGTGCATTCGTGCGGTTGTCACCGGGAACTCTCTTCAAATTTCCCGGAAAAAAGGTATTTGTTGAGTTCGGAAACATGGAAACTAGTGGAGCCTCCATTCTCGTCCACTCTCTCATCTTCTTCGGCCTCATCACTATCTTCACCGTCGTCCTCTATCTTCACATCAACACCTAGAATATTTTTTTTGTTAAAGCAACACCTAGAATTTCATGCATATATATATATATACACACATGGTGTGTATATATATATATTTGTAAGAATTTCATGCAATAATATGATGCACACTGTCATATCAATATTATGATCCTCGATCTAGATATTTGTAAGGATTTATACAAGGTGTGGTGTGTTGGTTGGAAGCTGTTAAGAATCTATCTCCATTTAAACTACCGTAAAAAATATTTTTTTTTGATTGAAAAAAATTGAAAATATATAAGAGGTCTCTAAACCTAACAATTTTACATGCATACATTATCATTGTGAATTTCTCAAAGTTTGAAACATCTCAAAAACTTTATCGTGCCGATCTAAATGAATGAATTTAAGTCAAATAATAAAACATAAATTAAATCGATTTCGTAAAGATACAAATCGATTGTAATACCAGGATCAAAGAGAATGAGGGGTGATGGTGGCGATCCTAATCTTAATGATTGCAAAGATTGATTGGTGGCACTGGTTGATTTAAGAAAACAATAACTAAAAACATTGTAGGTTCGAAGTTTGATCTATACTATGATGAATAACCCTAACAATTATTCATCATTTTTAAAAGATTACTTGTTATAAAATAACCTTGATAATTTTAATAGTTTGGTAAAATATATGTTTAAAACATTATTATATAATTTTATTTATAGCTAAAAAATTTAATTTAAATAATTAAATATATAACAAAAATTAGTTTTGTGGATCTAAATAATAATCTTTCCTTTAAATAATCCTTTATTTAATTGATTTATTATAGATAAGCAATAAACAGAATTTTATCTATTCAATTTTTATATCTATAACCAAATATAAATATATTTATGTTATTATCTATATTTTAATGTTTTATTTTCGATGGCTGTAATTGAAATATAATCAAAATCAATTTAACAATTTTATATTGTTTACTGTCGTTTTTTCGCTAGATTCCGTGATTTTTTAATATAATGGAAGTCCAAAATTATATAAACTTTTAAAACAGATAATCCCGTAATTAAATATAATAATAATAAGTTTTTTTAATAAGAAATCTATATATATTAATAAAGGAGTTTAAAGGATTGTGGTGAAGCCACCTCATCCTCCACCTCATTATCTATATGACATTTTGTTTTATTTTTTTATTTATTATTTAAAACTTTTTAACTACATATAAATTGCATTAAAAAGATTTAAATGATTAATGGGGTATTAACAAATATTTTAGGTTATGATGTTTTGAAACGGCGTATGATTATTGAGATCTTAACAATTTGGTTTTCTAAATATATTATTTATTGATATAAATATTTTTAATTTTCTAACAAATATGATATATGGGTAGGGAAAACTGTCTAATATATTGCGTATGATTATTGAGATCTTAACAATTTGGTTTTTTAAATATATTATTTATTGATATAAATATTTTTAATTTTCTAACAAATTATGGATGTGGGAGAAACGAGGAGTTTCGAGAATTATTTTCATGCGTCGCGACTTTTATATGTATATTAAAGTCATACCCATACTATGGATGTGGGAGAAACGAGGAGTTTCGAGAATCTAATCACGAGATCAAAGGAAGATAAATGCATGCCTTATGGTCCCGGAAAATTTGGAATCGTGGTGAGCGAGCGGTCGTGGCTTCCGCTGAAGGCAAAACTGGTGGCCAGAAATGGTAATTTGGAGATGTACGAGGAAGATGCACAATGACATACACATGATATAACTTTCAATTGTAAGAATAGGTTAAACTATACATAATTTTGAAATTTTGAATGTCGTGTATATTTGACTTTTTAAAATTGTATTTGTTTTTATTTTTTTTAAATTAAAATTTTCTGTGAATATGATGAATATGATTTTTTGATATTTTCGGGGATTTTTTTTTCAAGTTCCAGGTATTAGTGGAGAAATTCCTAGAATACTAAGGCGTAGTGGCGTTTTGTAGTAATTGAAGATATTAAAGACATTTAAGACATTTAGTAGAATAAAAAATTAAAACAAGTGAACATGAACCAAAAAACATTCTTGATAAAAAAAAAACTGTAATAAAAACTATCCACTAACTCATTATATAAATGGGATATTTAATGAAAACTATTATACAAAAAACTGAAAAGATTGTTCATTAACCCATTAATAAAAGGTAAAGAATATCCCATTACTATATAAGATCATCTTTTATAATTGAAAAACAATACGAAAAACTAATAATCATTGTATATTACGTACAACAACATTTTCGTCATGTGGACATCTGAGGATAAGCGTAAAGAAAGAGAAATAATGCTGAAAGATTGGAACTTTGGGTATGTGGGTATTTGTGTATGTTTACGCGTATTTGTATGTTGATAACATATATACATGTACATATATGTATGTATACGTGTATATGTACGTCTAGATGAAGAAGAGCACATGGGTATGTGTATGTCTATTTGTATGTAGATGACATTTATATGTATATACATATATGTATATATACATGTATATGTGTACGTATAGATGGGAAGCGTATATGTGTGGAGAGAGAGAGGTACATCGATAAGCGTGTGCACAGAGGGATAACAAACGTGGGCGGTTGCCGAGAGATGTTCGATCACAAAATATTTGCATGGGAAAATTCTAAAAAACAAACATGAAGGATTTAATTTTATTTTCAAGTTATAATAATTTTACGAAAAGGAAAAACTCATAAAAAAAGAATGATGCATTCAACATATGTATAGAATAGAAGTAAATATATATATGTTTGTATATAGATGTATGGATATGTATGTATGTAAATATGTATGTGCATGTATATGTATGTGTACATATATTAAAATAAGAAATAAAAATATATGTGAGCATATATCATATATGTATATAGATATATATGTGTATATATATGTGTATATATGTATATGCGTTTATATTTATGCATATTAATATTTTATACTATTTTATGGATATGATTTTTATATACAAAAGAATAACCTCTCTATTAAATTGTTATATATATATATATGTATGCATGTCTATGTATATATATATATATATGTATATGTATATGTATGTTTATGCATGTATATTAATATATATTATTTTATATTTATGCGTGAATAATTTTTTGTTTTATTATAATTTTTTTTTATGAATATATTAGAAAATTATTATATATTTTATGTAAAGTTAAAATAATAATATTCAAACATTATACATATATATATATAATAATCACCTCATTTATAAAATCCAGAGAATTAAAAAACACAGTTGCAAACTCTAAAAAATCAATCTATAAAATCCCGCGAGTATAATATAACAACTCATTTAAAAAACTATTATTCAATCTCACAAACAAATAAAAAAAGAATAGGAGAGAAGAATGACTTATCTCCTGAGAACATACAAAAAAAACAGAAAATAAAAGATAGAATAAAAGAATTTTTTGGTCATAAGATTTTTTGTTTCCAATCCAAAATAGAAGTACAAGAATTACAAGTCCGATCCAGAGATGTCGTTTAAGAAGTAAAAAACAACGGAGATATAAGTTGAACCCAGAGACAAAGTCGAACAAATCAAAAGCCGATGAAACCCAAGGAGAGAGATAAAAGCCGGAGAAGATATGAAATGGAAGAAGTCGATGGAGAAGAGAAATCGAAGAAGAGAAGTCAAAGAAGAAGATGAAACCAAAAAGGTCCATGAAGAAGGGTTAGGGTTCTATCAAGGATACGAAAAAAGGATTAGGATTTAATTTATTTGGGAGAAAATTTTATGGGTTTTTTATTTTTAAATAAATCAGTTATTCCTGGACTATTTTACTAAACCGATTTTAATTGTCGATTTAATTTTAATCCATTATTTAATTCAGGAACTAATGTGGCTATTAATTTTGATATAGTATATGACGTACATGTAGGATGATATTTAACAGAAATGACAGTCAACGTTAGTAAAAAAATTTATTGGCACTATTATATAAGTTCAGACATTCTAATGATGGATTTGCAAATTGAGTATTTTTTCTAGACTCCAAGTATATTAGTTTTCCAACCATTTGCAAGTTAGAGAATTTTTTATTGAGTATATCCTATATATATATGTAATATATATATATATATTTTAAGGAGAAATCACCAAAACAAATCTACATTCTTCTCAAATCAACCAAAAAAACTCTGTATTTTTTGTTTATTAATTAAATTTTGTACTTGGTGTGATTAACCCATAAAATTTTGAACTTTTTAAAAATTTACTGAAAATTCCCCACGTCTGCCAACTCCAACAAAAATTATGATGTAACAATGACATAACTTCTAAATTATGTACACATCATCATAATTATGTCACAATATTATTTTAAACAAAATTTAAATTAAATAACTATTTAAATTAATATATATACATACAAATTCACACCCACATTCACATATATATATATATTAAATATAAAATTATTTATAACTAACAAAAGACATATATACATATCGATAAATTATATATATATTATTTAATATATATTACATATATTAGTTATAATTACTTTTATTTTAATATGCATATTATTTGTATATATATATTGCATGTATACCTAATATATATACATATACATATTATTTTTAATAGATATTATATGTATATATGTTAGTTCTAATTATTTTTATTTTTATATATATGTATTAATTATAATATACATAAATATTGTAGTTATATGTATATATATATTTTATTAATTACAAATAATTTTATTTTAAATATATATATGTATATATATATATATATTTTATATTTGAATTTGTATGTATATATAGTTAAATCAGTAAGTAAAAAAGTATAGAGTTTTTTAGTTAACCTCAGAAGAATGCATAGTTTTTTTTTTGCAATATATCGATATCCCTTTATTTTAAATAAAATATAAGGATTAA